AAATTTACTAATAAAATATAATAATATAAATTTAACTAATAAAATATCTACTAATAAAATTGATTATATTACAATATATAGACGGTCATGAAAGAGAGGATGTTGTTGAATATCGCCAAGAGTTTTTACAAAAGATGGAGGAGTATGACAGGTTAATGTCAAGATGGTTAGATACTAATTGTGAAATTCATGAAGAGCCATATCTCTTACTAGAAGAGAAAAAACATATTTTAATCACTCATAACAAGTGTATTTTTTATTCTTATGATGGTATTAATCAATTTTGGGCACCTGAAGGAGAACTGCCATTAAGAAAAAAAGGTCTTGGCCCTGGGCTTTATGTTAGTGAGTTTCTTACAGAAGAAATTGGAAGATTAAAAGATGAAGTAGGAGAAGCAAGATTAATAATGCAATTAGGTGCAAAACATGATGAGTATTGGAACGGTGAAAAATTGTTAAACCAGGTAAAAAATGCTATAGAAATCTTTGAACAAACTCATTCTGGATGTGTTGGAATATGAGCATTCGATAATGCGACTAGTCATACTGTTATAGCACCTGATGCACTAGTTGCAGCCAGAATGAACCTATACCCTGATGGCAAACAACCAAAAATGAGAATCACAATTTGGAATGGTAAACCGCAAACAATGGTATACCCTGATGATTATGAGAACCCTTTTTTAAGATCGCAACCAAAAAGAATAAAAGCTTTTCTTGAGGAGAGAGGTCTCTAGAGAGATAAAATGTTAGTTAACTGTGAGAAATATAAAAAAAATGAGCAAGATCTTAATATAACTAACTGTTGTACACGTTGTCTTGTTGCAAATCAACCAGACTTCTTGGCTGAACATGGATTAATTCAAAAAGAAATAGAAAAACGTTGACATAAGGTAATTATGTTTACTAATACAAGTTACTTTCATTATAATAAAGCGATCAGACCAACAGGAGGAACCATCGATGTTATACAACTGATCCTTCACCCAGTGTGCAACACATAAAAAATATTTTACAATACCAGATCATCCATTTTGATTATAATAAAATAGCGTGGGATTATAATCATAACATGTACTAGCGGAATGATCTGGTATTGTAAAATAATTTTTTTATGTGTTGACACTAGGTGAAGGATCAGTTATATAATATTAACGGTTCCTCCTGTTGATCAGATCTAATAATAAAAATTTTGAAAATTTTGCTGTATTGAGTGTATTGAAATTTAATTTCATAACTATATTGAGAATTCACATAATAATAACTTGTAATATTTATCACAGATAATATTTTATCCAAAATTCCATTCGGAGCTTAATTATATTGAGATGTACTGGGGTGCAACAAAGAAGTATATAAAAAAATCCTGTAATTATACATTGAAAGAGCTAAAAAAACAGGTATCAATTGCACTTGATTCAATCTCAGTTAAACAAATTAGAAAGTACGCAAGACTTTCTTATCGATAGATGGATGCATATCGGAAAGGGCTAAAGGAAAAAGCAGCCGAATATGCAGTTAAAAAGTATAAACGCCACCGTTCAATTAATGATAATATATTAAATTAGTTATGTCGAATCTTACTTTCTTTACCTGTATAAAGGCTTATTATAAAATAAATCATTTTTATTTAGTATATATGGTTTTATAAAATAAGATTTAGTATATAAAAAAGTGTGAAAAAATTATGCATTATTCGCTTAAGTATATATATACCCTGCATACAATCTAATCGCTGTATAACCCATGTTACATACATCTAACATACAATATTTGGTCATAAACATTTCTTTTTTTAAAATAAAGGCAGTTTTATTTTAATTCTTTCGCACTAAATTATAGAGTACTGGTACTTGAATATAAAGCAATAGTACCGATTAATATTATAACTAACCAATCAACAATAAGCATGTACTGTATTTTTATTGGTCAATACATGATGCACGTAGGTTACACTGCAGGCAAAATATTGGCACCTAAATAATAAGTATATGGCTTTTGCTGTTCCACACTGTATGTAATATTTTTAACTATATACCATTGCTATACATAATATTTTTAACTGACTATAACTTTGTATATGAAATTTTTAACCATTTTGATCCAACTTATTTATATTTTTATTAGACTTTTATTGATTTTTAATATAACTAGATTTAGTAGTAGGATAGTGCTACAATTTTTTTTTAATGAACAAAAAAACTAATAACTTTATTATAACTAAAAACAATCCTTACAACTCTTAAAACCTTCTACTTTTACTACTTCCTTCACCTCTATCATTATTATCTAAAACAAATACAGGCCAATCCACCTAATCTTCATTATTAAAATTCAAATCTAAAATCTCTTCTTTATCTTTTTTGCTTGAATTACGAATAGTCATAGAACTATCAGCTTTAATCTCTATTACATTCTTCATTAATCTCTTCACTATAATTAAATTATATATTATTTAGTATTTATTAAATTAACTAGATAATATAATTATTTAATTACTATAATATCTCCTGTATTTTTCACTTCTAAAAATTCTTCTTATTATTTAAAATCTCTTTCTCCTTTTCTAAAATTATTTTCCTTCTTCAAATATTCTTCTCTTTCAACTAATCATCTTTTCTTTGTCACCAAAACAAATTATTTTCTTCTATCTTCTTTTGCAACTTCTCTCTTAAAACCTTCTTTTCTTCCTTTAACTTTGTAATCTACTTCTTCAAATAAATACCCCAATACCATCTTTAATTAACTGGGGGGTTTTTTTTTCTTCTTCAACTACTCTTTATCGTTTACCCATTTATATAACTTCTTATACTTCTTCTTCTACTTACCACCTTTCTTGCTTATAAATAACCCTTTTCTTCTCTTTTTTCTCTCATCAATTTCTTAAACATCTTTGCTGACATATTTTCACTCTTCTGATACTTTTGTCTCCATTTATCTTTATAATCCTTCATTACCTTGACCTTCTTATTCAACTGTTTGATCTCCTCCTCCAAATGTTTAATCTATACATTTTTTCTAATAATTAATTATTATTATTATTATTATCATTATTTTATATATTATATTATTTTTACCAATTTTTACCTAGTTTTTTTCTATAATTATAAATATTTAATATTATTAATATTATTATTACTATTACTTATTCTTATTATTAATTTAATATTTATCTTTTTGGATGTCTATATGGTAATTTTTCTTGCTTGTGTTGTTTTTAATAAGTATGAACTATGATTAGATGTTGATGTAGATGTAGATGTTGAATTATCTTGATATTTACAAACTTCAACAAACTTAATGATAAATACTATACTTAACTCCTGCATTATACCAACTTGATTATATGAATTCTATACTCTAATTGGACACTTTATAAGAACTGAAACTATCTTAAACAGAAAAATTTTGAAAATTAGACAATTACTTATTGTAGTAAAGTGGTAATGTTGTGTGGCCATTGTAGAGTTGTACGTTTAAATCTTGTCTATAAACTGCTCAATTTACTAATAGGTTATAATGACAGCATAGGCACTATAACAACTACAGTTGACCCTCTCAGAACCGATCCTGTCAAAACCAATAACCTGCTAAAATCGGTTAAAAATCAATCCACCAGACACCTGTTCTATAAGTAATAACTGATAACCTGCTATTTCTGATACTAAACCTGTCCACCATGCATATCAGTTCTAAGAGGGCTGATTGTATTTATTTTGTACAAATAACAAATAGTTGTATTAACAAATTTAATTAATCATATATTAAAAATATTTCTTTTTAAAAATACTGTATACAAATTTTCAAACTATATTATTTTAACAAAATTTAAATATTTTAAGTTAACTTTTTATCAAACAATTTTATTTTAACAAAATTTGAATATTTTGTTAATCTTTTATCAAATACTATTATTAACTTGTATCGAATTTTTATTTAAGAAATAGAACTTAAACTAGTTATTATCTATTTGTTACAAATTATTTATTATTATTTGTTATGACTTTCTGTTCTAACTTTATTTATTAAAACTTTATTCATTATATCTTTATTCGTTAAAGTTTTCTTTATTATCATTTTATTTTTTTAAAAATTTATTTTGATACAATTTTACTTTTTATTTATTAGATTAGGAACTTATATTTTTATTAACTTTATTTATATTTATCTATTATTACAAATTTATTCATTATAACTTTATTATTTTATTATTTTAAAATTATCTTTATTATTTATTACAAATTTTATTAATTTTTAATATTTTATATTAATTACTATTAGAATTAGACTTTAAATTTTATTTTATTAATATTTACAAAATATTACAGAAATAATTTTTATTTTGTTTGTCTATATTTTGCTGCAACTCTTGTTCTTCACCTTTCAAATTTGCGACTTAAACTCGCAATCTATTCTGTTCAATGAACAATTGCTAATACTGGGTTTCTTAAATATATTTTTTTCAGATTGCTTTGAAGGACCAAGAATTTCTGGCTGCTGCTTGTGTTTCTAAATTTTGGACTTGGTTGTAGAAAGCAATCAAACGACCATAAACCGAGCTTCCTTTTTCTTTCCTAGGCATCTAAAAACAAAACTTAATTAGAAACTACTTGTCTCTAAATATGTATACTAAAAATGATATTATAAAAAAATATTGGCAAGGCTCTTATCTCAAGAATATAACAAGCAAGGTCTATTATTTGCAATACCAATGAAAATAAATTCTTAACCTACTCACACAAGAGACCATAAGTATCAAAAATAAAAAGAAGAAAATATAAAGAGAAAATATCTACTTGGGTCGAATATACAGCACACCAAAGTAGATGACTAGCTGAGTCTCCAAGTATCTAAATTAGATGGGACTGAGCATACAGTCCAAAAGTGTATATATCTTCGAACAACTAACTAGAGGACAAGCAAAAAGTTTTTTAACAAGAAAAGTTTTTAAATGATAAACTATTAACAAAAGAAACAGAAAGGTTAAAATATGAAGTGGTGATAAGAAAAAGAAGGAAAAAGAAAGAAGCTAAAAAACCAAAAGTTGAAAAAAGCAAAATTTTAGTTGAACAAAAAATAGAAACTAAGGAAATATATAATGAAAAATTGGCATTGTTCTCAAAAAGAAAGTTAATAAACAACTAGATGCAACAATTAATAAACATCAAATGACTATCAATTAGTAGATATAAAAAAAAACAAAGAATTTATCAACAAAAAAACAAAATAATATTGATAAAATAGAACAAATTAGAATGATGTGGAAAAATTGATTATCTGATAAGAAAACTTAGCACAAAGAAACAGGAAACAATTGATAAACTAATAAGCTCATAAGACATTTGCTATTTTTAAAAAGAAGAAATACAAGAAAAATCAAACAGTAACACAATTTCGTGCAAGACATTTAATTAAATTTTTGGCATATGATTACTTTCCGGGTACAGATATATGATATTATAGATTATTTTAGAAATTAAATTTGCGAAGCAAATTTCTAAAGGTGGAAGAAGCTATTACAGAATAACTTTATAATATTACACTAATAGTTTTGTAGAACAATACTTTATAATTTATAGTTTATATTTTAGATATAATTCTTGCTAAATTTGTATTGTATTAAAAATTATATTGTATTTAGAATAGTTAGAATATTAGAGTATATGCCAGTATATACTGTATGCCAGTATATACTGTATACCACTATATGCTATATACTGCTGTATGCCATATGCCACTATATGCTATATGCCACTGTGTGCCATATACTACTGTGTGCCATATGCCACTATATACCGTATACTACTGTGTACTGTATACTACTGTATGCTATATACTAATGTATTCCATTTGCCATATAGTTGTACTGTATGCTAGTATATACTAC